TTACATATTATTGTATTACAATTCAGGTAATGATAGATGATGCTACAAAGAAGCATCTAAAATTTTAGTTCCTTAATACACTTACATAAAGTTCAATGCAGATGTTCCTGGTTACTGGGTGCCATTCCATATGTCCATTCTGGAATACTTGCATATTATTCTCTTGTCCTTACTTACATCCTTTCCATTCAGCTCACTGTGAGAAAGGCTAACACAAGTCTTAGCCACTTCAACCAAGAAGTGACATTAATTACTTCCACTCATATTACATGGTTCCATTGAGATGTAAGAAGGTCTGAGAAATGTGTTCCCTACATTGGCACATGTTTTCCAGCCACAGCCACAGACTGCAGTATTGCATAGCTGCCTATGATACATTATTATTATTTGTTTTAATTCAAACTAATCTCTATTTTAATCTCACCAGACACAATTCTTATTATTGTTTCCTGCAGTCCATGTTCAGATAATTATTACTTTCATTACTCTTCATTGTCTCTGAATCTTAGCTCTCCCTTTCACTTTCCTTCTGCCTGAAGTATATTGTTTATAATTTCCTTTAGTGATGTTGGGCTGTTGGCAAAAAAGTTGAGGCAAAAGAAAAAAATGGAAGATAAGGAAATAGCGTTAAATCTAAAAACATCAACGATGACAAGAAAGCCCGTGATTTAAACTGAAATAATTAAAATATACCTATTTTCACATTGGATAGGGGAAAATATTTACAGTCATATGCTGTTTACAAGAAACTATACTGAACTGTTTAAGGATTAAATATAGATGTATGTGACAGAAAACTCAAAATAACAATAACTTTAAAATAGAAGTTTACTTCTCTCTCACATTAAATAAAAAAGCCACAATTAGGCAGTAAGGGTTGATAATGACATCTTTCTTGTCGTCAGGGCCCAGGTTCCTTCCAGCTTCCTATTCCACCATACCTAGGTCATGGCCTTGTCTTCATGTAAGCATTTTAAGCAGCAGGTTGGAGAAAGGTGACGATGAAGAATGAGTACCATTTCTTTAAAGAGGCTTCCTGGAAGTTCTGCATGGTATTTCTACTTACATCTCACTAGACAAAACTTAGAAAAATATATCTACAAAAATGGCTATGAAAGGAAGGCTTCTGTATAAGTAGGAAGGAGCCCTAATGGCACAAAGGTTACAGCACTGGCCTGCTAAACGAAAAATCGGCAGCTGGAATCCACCAGCAGCTCTGTGGGAGAAAAGACCTGGCGATCTGCTCTCTTAAAGATTACAGCCTAGGAAACCACGTGTGGCAGTTCTATTCTGTCCTATAGGGACACTTATTGGAAACAACCAATGTCCATGAAAAGGATAAAGGATGAATAAAGTATAGTATATTCACATAATGGAATATAGCAAACCAGTGTAAAAAATTAACTTGAATTCCATGTGTCACCGTGGATAAATCTCAAAAGCATTAAGTAGACAACAACAAAAAAAATAAAGTTGCAGAATGACACAGTATGATACAATTTATATTATGTTTAAAGCATGCAAAACAATTACCATTTAGAGATATGTATCCAATTGTAGTAATAGCAAATAGCTGTTAAACACAGAAGCAGAGTCTTTATAAAAGTAATAGTATAAAAGTTTTGTAAATGCATCATTCCTTGATGATGATTTCCTCCAATGATTTTATCCTACACTCTCCTCAGTGACTCATTCCTACGGTTCACACCCTAGGCCTTGTCAACAGATCTCCTTCAACAATAACTGCAACCCCTCCATCATCTCAGAAATGTGCATCCCAAGCTCTGACCTGCTTTCTCTTCTGCTCATTCCTCTAGGACCTCAACTCCAACAATCCATTCACCCACGAGCACACCCAACCCAGTGATGTCACAAGGGTTGTTGTCACCCAGTGTGGTAACTCATGGTGTCACCCCCTGACCCGGCACGGGCCTCCTCCCATACCAGACCATACAGAATCCTTAGTAATGTATTTTGTGCTAATGTTACCTGGAAATCATAATTCCCATATATCACCTGTTCTTTTCCTTTAATTACTACTTCATTCTCAGAAAGGTTATTTACAGAGGTTCACAAATACTAATTACCACAATATTATAGCTAGTACACCGGAAAATGTGACAAAATCAGGTACTATAAAAACACTGCAGCAGTTAAAACAACAGCGTATCCTTGTAGCACGTGCAGACGAAAGCAAGTGATTTGAAGCGTTATTACAATTGGGTAATAAGGAGAACTCTGACCGGAGGGCATTACAAGGTTCAGAAAGTAAATTAGTATAGAGTTTTAGCCTTGTAGGTATACTGATACATGTAAGCTGGGCTTATGAAAAATGTTTTTGTTGTTGTAACTAACTACAGGGATATTTTTATAAAAAACAGTAAGTTTCTACTGAAACACTGCACAAAAATTTTACAGTCATTTTGGTGTCACCCCCTCTGACAATGTCACTTCGTGCGGTCCACACACCCCCACCCTCCCCCAGTGACTCCAATGATCCAACCTCTGGTTCCTACCACATTTTCAGTGTTCTGACTTCCTTATTGATTTCTCTCCTTCCTTAGCCAGTAAAAATTTCTTCCAATTTCCTTGCTATTCTTTCCCTTCATAACTACTTGGCAAAAAGACAATACCACTTTTCAAAATTCTGAGGTAGAAAAATATCAGAGCTAACATTCTATGACTATTCAAATTATCAACCAAATGTGGAGACAAAAGAAAAGTATGCTTATTAAATAAATAACTCAAAGTTTGCCATTCATACACTCTTTGTGTTTAAAAACAAACAAAACCTGATGAGTTATTCCTGAAACAAAGCATTCCAAAAGAGCTTGCAGTTTAAATTTCTGTGGCAGTTGATTTCACCCATGAGAAGTAAAGAACGTTAGAAAATAAAGAAGCACCATTAGATCCTGATGACTGAAATATTCTCCTTTGATCATCAAAGCTTTACTGACATATGAATATATTTATTCCTTATTTAATAGTTAATATTATATATAATACTATAAAATGCTACTGATTGATTTTATTTTTAAATCAACTTATAGACAAAGTACAAAAGTTCTATAGAATGATGTAAATTTTATAAATCTTGACAATAGAAATAAAAATACTATGACTGATAAAAATTGGAAGATGGAAGGGAAGAGAAATTAAAGAAGGGTACAGCTACATTACGCCTCTTATTTTTCAGAGCAAGTAATCAATGGACTGTTATATAAACGAGCCAAAGATGGTCTTTGTGTATTGATTCCCCCCAGGTTGTTTACTTCTTCATAACAAACTAAGGCTTGTTAGCCCAAAAAAGCCCACCAGTGCTAAATTCAAATTTGTATGCATCCAATTGTTTTTTAAAATAGCCCAAATAAGCAAATGTTCAGCCACTTAGATTCTTCCTTCTTTACATACCCCAGGAAACTGTGCTCTACAGCTGATAGCCAGAGATAAGATAAAACCCTGTAGTTATAAGGACCCTCAAGTTGCTTCTGTCCTCTGAGCTCTCTGACCCAGAGACTCCCCATCTTGCTGCAGAAGGACATGGCATAGGAACATGTAAGTGCCCCCTCTCTTCTCCTCTTCCCTGGGAGTTTCCTTGCCCTGTTCCCCTTCTGGTGGCTCCCTGGCGCAAGCGTGCCCTTGGAAGACACCCAGTTGTGGGGGACCGCCCCCTACATGCGGCTGTCAATGCTGGGGAAACAATAATTAGCTTGTTGTGCAATGCTGCTATCTTGTGGGCATATCATTTTCCTTCATCAGCCCCAAACTCCCTCTAACCTACTACATGGATGTAGTCTAAGGGAAATCGATATTATTTAAAATGGTGAAAATATAAGAACCTATATATAAAATATATATATACAAGCATAGATGACAAGTAGAGTGAGCCAAATATGTCAAAAATAATATTACCAATATTGTCTACAGTTTATAAATCAAAATAAGGGTAAGGGAATATGTTTTTAAATAAATAAATATAACCACCAGAATAACTTAAATAACAATTCTTAAATAGTAATACAACAAGGGAAGAAGTTTTACTATCATTTTTTGCCTAGTATAACTACAGTTAAAAAAAATTTTACCATGTGCATTACTTCTGTAATAAAAAATCAAATTAAAAGATTATCAGAAATAAAAATACGTGCTGCAGAATCCCATTTTTTTTTAATTATATGAAGAGAGGGAGCCAGGGTAACAGACGAACAGAGGATGACACAAAGTGAAAGATAAATATTAATCAAAATGGTAATTGTGGTTATCGCTGTCTGGGTGATAAGATGTCAGATTATATTAATTTTATTATATGTTCCTATATGTACTTAACAAATTTCACATGATTAACATAAATTAGCCACTAATAATAATAATAATAATAGTACATCGTATTTAAACTTGTGTTCAAAAAGAATAAGTAGCATGGGAAATGGGTCAAAGAATTCCATTAAATAGTACATTTAAATGTACCAAAGATTATATATATGTATGTACATTTATATATGTATATATATATTTACATATTTATAAATACTATAAATATTTAAAATAGATACAAAAGTTTCTTTTAAATACTGCCTTTCAAAGGTTTGAAACATTTTAAAATATTTTTATTGTAGTTTTTGTTTTATTTATTTTGACTTTGAAGCTATTTTATCTGTACAGTATTTCTCCAATATTTTGTCTACAGGCAAAAATCTATTTGGGTTACAGAAATTTCTTTATTTCTTAAATTTATTACAGATAATTTCTCATGATCCATTATTCTATATATTGAGGAATGCATGTGTGTTTATGATATTTTTATTCCCACTTTAACTTCCAAATATAGTCAACTGTTCTATAGAACACAGTTCCTTCTACAGATTTCAAATTTTTAATAGTAATGGATACAAATGAAACCTCTAACTGTAAATATAAATGTAAACTGTATAAAATATATACTACCAGGTCAGATAATTTTTAATAATGAGTAAATTTTTAAAGATTGAATAATTTCTTACCAAAGCAACTCCTGCAGCGTAATGGCTATCACACATCTTTCCAGGAAATACTGCTCCAACGTGATCTGGATAATCTCTATAACTAAATAAATATGTATACATTTATAATTAATTTTAGCAAACAATTTAAATGTGAGAATTACTTCCAATAATTTAAATCTGTAGTTCATAAAGTCCTAATCTGAAGCAAACTGAAGTAAAATCTTTCCACATGCCCTTAATTGTTTCAAATTTGGAAGATATTCTTAACTAAATGAAACACTCTGGATTTCTAAAACAAGTTTTTGATGGCTTTTCTGTTCTCTTCACGTTTATTTTGGGTTACCAAAGCCTATGGTCAAACATTTTGGCCAAAAACAATTTGTTGAATGACAGTGACTAATATTTTTATGTATGGATTAAAACTTGTCACTTCTATGAAAAAACGACCACCAATTTTTTATAGGAATGACTTTATTGTACTAAAACTTAACATTATTACTTCAGCATTAAGGGCCCATATAAACTGTCATATAATAATAGTACTATTCTCACAGCTTTACATAAATTATTCCACTTAATCCTCACAAAAAAAACCAACCAAATAGATACTATTTTTATCTCCATTAAACAAATGAAACTATCAGATGGGAAGTATAAGTAACTCCCGCAAAGGAGCGTGATTAGTAAGTGCTACTGAAAGAATATGAATTCAGGCAATCTAGATCCAGAACTATACTCTCAGCCACTAAGGTGCAAACATATACTGCCGTCTTTACAGCCCCCACCAAAATAAGCATGACAAGAGGTATACAAAGAAGCTGGGTACTCAATTCTCAATGTGAAACACCCCCTCTGTCTCAACTACATTTCACTTCCCAATCGTACTGTCTCCCCTCCGCTGCCTTTATTCTGTGTCTCAAATATTGTTTATACCAGCACTTCCAGCACTGGTTTCCAAGTATTTGCTCCTAACTCCCAACTTTGACTTCCTCAATGTCTAAATATTGTTTACATTTTTCAGCCAAGGTAGTTCCACCTTAATAACTCAGTCTTTTTACAAATCCTAAGACTTCCCATAAAATTCTGAGCACACTCCTGATAAGCTGGACTCAAAACAGTGCTTTTGTTTTTGTACTGTTTTGTTTCTGCTTCAAACTGCCCATCCCCACCCAGTCTCCACATCAAATCAGTTACCAGGCCCTACTGTTTTACGTCTTCAGTGTTTCTTGTATCCTTTCCCTCCTTCTAAGAGTAAACCCCAGTTCTAACTGTGAATTCCATACTCTTTGAGAAGAACTACAGACTTACTTCGTTTCGTGGCTCTAAGCACATTATTTTTATAACCTGGAATGCTTTTCCACCTCCTGTCTCTGCTCTAAATTTACACAGGCCTACCTCTGCCTTTGCTGTGAGTCGGCACTGACTCGACGGCAGCAACGGGTTTGGTTTTCTGTCTTTTTTTTTGGTAACTCTGCCTTCCCACTTCTATCTAGAACATATTTACATACTGCTTTGTCTCACTTTTACTCTCTTGTTCTTGAGATCTGTCTTTCTTCTCTAAACTGTAAACAGGTAGAGACAATGTACTAAAATAATATATTACTAGGTTCTTTGTGTCCACTGTACAACTTACTCATACCAGATTGTAAGCTTCTGGGGCATAGAGACCATAGAGAATTATTGTTATTATACTATTTTTAAGTATCTCTTCTAGGACCTTACTCACTGTAGATACGCAAAGTATGTTGCGTCAGTAAAGCAAGATATCAAGAAGAGGTGTTACTCAACTTCAAAGATGCTGATCGTACCATAATTTTTACATTTCTAATGAGATAAATTATCTTCCACAAACCTCACTTACATATATTAATACAATCAAAGTTCAACATCCTATTAAAAGATAATACATCATGATGAAAAGAGGTTTATTCTAGGAATACAAGAATGATTCAAAGTTGCAGAATATATTACTATAATTATTTGTATTAAGAACGCTAAGAATATCTTATTATTATTCTCATGAATGCTGAAAGGTTATTTTTTTCAAATTCTTTGTATAACAAGAATCTATGGATACTGTCTTAATGTTATATACATACACATACAATTTCAGCCCCAAAGTCAGCATCTTAATGAACAGGGTAACATTCCCACTAAAGTAGACAGACATGCCTGATGTTACCATAATTACCACTAGCATTTAACATTATAGTAAGGTGTTAGCCAAAGCAATAAGACTACAGAAAGAAATTGGAGATAGAAAATTAAGAAAAAAGAGATAAAACTACCTATATATGCAGATGATATTATTGTATGCATGAAAAAAACCAAGGTAATCACTTAAGAACTATTAAAAACAGTAAGGAAATTCAGTAAGAAAGCAGGATATAAAAATCAATATATGAAAATTAGTATTTTTAATACATATAAACAACATCTATGTATAATATATAATAGAAGATCCTTTTATAATATAGTAAAAAAAGATAAAATACTCAGAAAAAGTTACACCTAGGAATAAATGTGTAAAACCTATACGAGAGAAACTAACCTTGGAAGGGCACAAAAGCATATTTGAACAAGTGGAAAGACGTAACATGTCTAAGACTGGAAAACAACAGCTCTCTATCAGTTAATTTATGAATTTCATGTGGGCCTAATAAAAATGCCAACATTTTTTAGGAACTAGACAGGTTGTGGAGCCCTGGTGGCACAGTGGTTAAGAGCTACAGCTGCTAACCAAAAGGTCAGCAGTTCAAATTCACCAGCGCTCCTTGGAAACCCTACGGGGCAGTTCTACTCTGTCCTATAGAGTCGCTATGAGTTGGAATCAACTCAAAGGCAATGGGTTATGGGTAGACAGGTTGTTTCTAAAATTCACATGGAAAAGAAATTAAACGTTCTTTTACAACTCTGAAGTGGAAAGACTTTTCTAATTATGACTCTAAATCCAAAAACTATAAAAGAAAAGCCTGATAAATTCTGCTTCATAAGAATAAATATTTTTTGTATAGCAATTAAAACAAAAACACAACAAGCCACGTCAAAAGACAAATTACCAACTGGGAAAGAAAACTGCCTCCCATTGCAAACACAAGAAAATTTATCTATTTATCTACCTATACCTATCTATCTATTATGTCTATCTAACTATTCACCTCATGAAAAAGAAATGCAAATTAAAATTATACCAGGATATCATTTATCAAGTACTATGTAGGCAAAAAACAAATTTTGACCATACATCTTGGTGGCAAGACTGTGGGGAAACAGACCCCACACCTATCCAGATACACATGCACATATTTAAAATGACATACTTGTGAAGTTTTTTTTTTTTTTTTCCACTGTAGCATTCCTTATAATCATAAAATACTGGAAACAATCCAAGTGTCAAGCATTAGGAGACTAACTAAATAAGCTATGGCAATATCACATAATGGAGTATAAATACAAGGGCTAAAAATCAGGAAGATCTCTATGTCCTTACATTAAAGGACAATGAGATATACTGTTAAGCAAAAAAAAGCAAGGCTCAGAATAAGAGTAATATATCATACATCATTTTGTTTAATGAAGGAGATACAATAAGAATAAATATATTTATTTGCTTAAATTTGCAAAATGACCACCAAAAGAATAAATAAGGCACTAATAAAAACGGTTTGTTTCATTGGGGCCAGGAAGCAAATGATGGAGGTGGCAGAATGGAAGTAAGAAATTTTCTGTATATGGTTTTATAAATAATTTTGACTTTAGAAAAATGTAAATGCATTACCAATTAAAAGCATTAAATTAAGTCTTGAAAAAAAGTCAAATAAATGAACCTAATCTAATATATCCCACAACTCTGTCAGTTTGTCGCACTGTAGTGGCTTTATGTTGCTGTGATGCTGGAAGCTTTGCCACCAATAATTCACACACCAGTAGGGTCACCCGTGGTGGACAGGTTTCAACTGACTTTCCAGACTAAGACACACTAGGAAGAAGGATCTGGCAGTCTACTTCTGAAAAAATTGGCCAGTGAAAACCTTATGAATAGCAGTGGAACACTGTCTGGTATACTGCCGGAAGATGAGCTCCTCAGGTTGAAGGCACTCAAAATATTACTGGGGAATAGCTGCCTCCTCAAAGTAGAGTTGACCTTAACAACATGAATGGAGTCAAGCTTTCAGGAGCTTCAGTTGCTGATGAAGCATGATTCAAAATAAGAAGAAACAGCTGCAAACATCCATTATAATCAAAACATGGAATGTATGAAGTACGAATCTAGGAAAACTGGAAGTCATCAAAAATGCATGAATATCAATATCCTAAGCATTAGTGAGCTCAAATGGACTGGTATTGCCCATTTCGAATCAGAAATTCATATGGTCTACTATGCAGAGAATGACACACTGAAGAGGACTGGCATTGCACTCAACATCAAAAAGGACATTTCAAGATCTATCCTGAATTACAACGTTGTCAGTGATAGGATAATATCCATACACCTACAAGGAAGACCAGTTCAATTTACGCACCAACCACTAATGCCAAAGATGAGGAAACTGAAGATTTTTACCAACTTTTGCAGACTGAAATTGATCAAACATGCAAATCAACATGCATTGTTAATTACTGGTGATTGGAATGTGAAAGTTGGAAATGAAGAAGCGAGAGTAGTTGGAAAATATGGCCTTGGTGACAGAAACAATGCTGGAGATCACATGATAGAATTTTGCAAGACCAGGGACTTCTTCATTGCAAATATCTTTTTTCAACAACATAAACTGCAATTATACACATGGACCTCACCGGATGGAATACACAGGAATCAAATTTACTACATCTGTGGAAAGAGATGATGGAGAAGCTCAGTATGATCCATCAGAACAAGGTCAGGGGCCAAGTGGGGAACAGACCATCGATTGATCATATGCAAGTTCAAGGTGAAGCTGAAGAAAATTAAAGCAAGTCCACGAGAGCCAAAGTACAACTTTATGTATATCCCACCTGAATTTAGAGACCATCTCAAGAACAGATTTGACTCACTGAACACTAATGACCGAAGACCAGACGAACTGTGGAATGACATCAAGAAAATCAAAAATTAAGAAA